CCAGCCGGAGGAGCTTCACATTCCATCAACCGGGTTAATCAATCCAAACCTGTCCCGCCAATCCTCCTCGCACGACTATCCCGCCACGCCGGACGCAGGTGCCCGGCTTCCCTCGATTAACGTACAACAGAGCTCTCAGTACGGCGGCGACGGGAACAACAGCAGCACTGCCCTTCCCGGAGCCTTGAAGCCAGGAAATCAGAACCGCCCGGCTGCAGTATCAATAAATACCGCTCCATCGGTTGTCCCTACCATGCCGCCGTCGTCGTCGCAAACAAACCACCGAGCCAGCATGATTAATTCACATGGACATTCGCGATCTAGCCCGGCCGGGTTCGACCAATCCATGTACAAACAACATGGTGGGGCCGATGGCTCCAAATATCCTTCCTCTCCTGGAGGATTCCCGTCTCACACCCCGCAAGGCTCTAAGTACTCTCCCCTGGGTCTGTCTGACATCAGGCCCTCCGGAGAACACATGTTGAGCGAAGCACTTATGAACCCCGGAATATCATCGATGCCTTACACCAACGGAGACAACCAGGTGCCGACCAACAGCAATTACGTCGCACCATGGCCTATATATGCAGTGGATTGGTGCAAATGGCCTATCACAGGAAACTCGGGCTTTGGTGGAAAGCTAGCCATGGGAAGTTATCTAGAAGACAGTCACAACTATGTATGTGCATTCATCCTATGGATAAATATGTTTATGCTAATCAGTCAATAGATTCAAATCCTCGATACACACTGGACACAGCCAGATCCCGATACACCAGATGCGGCTGCGGGAGAAATCAAACTGGACTATGTGAAAACGGCCGAGGCGACACATTCTTACCCGGTTACCCGCATCCTCTGGGAACCTCCCTCATCTCAGAAGCAATCGACTGATTTGCTGGCCACGTCGGGAGATCACCTTCGCTTATGGTCACTGCCGAATTCTCAGCCTCTACAAAGCTCAAACTCGATCACTCGTCCAATGAACCAGCGAGATCCTGCCACCTCCAAGCTTTCCCCGCTGGCTTTGCTGTCTAATTCAAAATCTCCTGAGCACACTGCTCCTATTACATCTCTTGATTGGAATACAATTTCTCCAAGTCTGATCATCACTTCGAGCATTGATACAACTTGCACCATTTGGGATATTCCCACATTGACAGCGAAGACGCAACTGATTGCCCACGACAAGGAGGTGTATGACGTTCGCTTCTGTGCTAACAGTGTTGATGTCTTTGTTAGCTGTGGCGCTGATGGCAGTGTTCGAATGTTTGATTTGCGAAGCCTTGAGCATAGCACAATCATTTACGAGCCGACGGATAAGAACGAGAAGCGTAAGTGTTTGCCAAAATATAATTATAGGCTCTGAATACTGATAATATTTTCAGCAGTGATGACCCCTGGAAGCTCCAGCCCCCCTGGCCAATCGCAGGCCGGCCTATACCCTCCGCCGTTGTTGAGAATCGCAGGTATGGACAACACGATCCCGACACAGAGGATAATCGCAAGCTAACACAATATCCTAGCATCCCCTCATGATGCTCATCTCCTGGCAACATTCTCACAAGACTCCGGTGTGGTCCGCGTTCTTGACGTCCGACAACCAGGCCAAGCTCTATTGGAACTGAAGGGCCATTCGGCTGCTTTGAACTGCGTAGAGTGGTCTCCAAGCCGTCGTGGCATCCTCGCATCCGGCGGCGACGATAGCATGGTTCTCCTCTGGGACCTCATCAACCAGCACAACGCTGCACCAGTCGCCTCCCCTCCCTCTACCACCCCAGGAGCACCGCCTTCCACAACCTCGGAGCGCGGCCCAGCCGGCGTCTGGCAGAGCGAATACGAAGTTTCCAATATCAGCTGGTCCCCACAAGGCGGACCCAACCACACCGGCCAGCCACGGGAATGGCTGGGAGTGTGCGGCGGACGAGGGCTAACTGGAGTCGCATTATGAGCCAACGAAAAAAGGAGTATTGATTTCCTTACGACGTCTCTTCTCTTCCCTGGTGCTTTCCGACAACCATGGTTCTTGCATTAGATGGTCCAATCTCTCTGATATTTCTTTCTGTTTGCCGCGATCTATTGCTTCGCGTGCGCACAGCGTCTCCTATTTTTACTTTGCTTTGCTGTATGTGTGCTTCGCTGGTACTGGTCGGCTTCTCTGTGTCGGACCCGGTACGTTCTTTGCATAGGTCGAGTGAGAAACCCGATGATCTTCATGGGTGACTCTTGTGTCTATTGATTGGCCACACTTCTGACTTGTTTGGTACGAGTGAACGAATGAATGAACTATACATTGGATATGTACCATTTGCTATTGGTTAGGAATGGTCTTGGGCGCCTATTCTACGTAAATCACTGCAATCACATTACCTCGAGCTCGTAGCTCCTTTGGGAACAACTAGGATTGATGATAGGGGCCAACCCCGCCGTAAGGATTTGACAGCTTGAATGAGATATGCATTTACTTTCATGTTCTGTTGAACGAGTGTATGACGTGATAGTCTTGCTTTAATCACGAATCTAAAATTTAGGAGTATGGATAGAACGACAGTACAATGCAGTAAAAATAACCAAAATGCCTCGCCCAGCGAGCAGGTATCATGTGGAGTACAGGTGTAGTAAGACAGAAAAAGCAACCACTAGACAATCGCGGTCTAATATAAACAGGTCCATGCCAAGTCAACGAAGAATTTCACTCTGCGTGGGTAGCCAGGGTTGGGCGACCGAGTGTTGAACCCTTGGAAATGAGACGATCTTCGAGCGAGCGCGCAAACTTGACGCTCGGGATATCCACAGCGCGCCAGAACACATCGCCTAGCCAGATGGCGATGGGGAGGCAGATCAGCCAGCCAATGAGGAAGCCAAGGCAATATTGGAAGTTTGTCTCTTTGCCGGTGAGATTCCAGATATTGGGCATGATGGAGTAGCCCAGACAATGGAGGACGGGGCCGTGGACAACATAGAATGCAAAAGAGATCTTGCCTAGGTATTGGGAGAAGGAATTTGTGAAGAGTTTCTGGATACCAGGGGAGTGATTGATAGAGAAGACGATGAGGACGGCTCCGATAGTCTGGGCGAAGCGGTGCGGCTCTGGGTAGGTCTTGGGGGTGATGTGCCACAGCCAGCTGTAGAAAGGCGTCCATTTGAATCCGATGTTGGGACATGAACCGAAGTAGAGACCGACTACGAAGAGTGAGATCCATAGCCCACGTCGGGATACTCTGATGGTAGTTTTGCTGCCGGGACTGAGGCGTATGGTTGTTTTATCGTCTTCTACCGCCGGCCGTGCGGAAGGCTCCCAGGTTCCATTGATGAGATCCACTTCGGCCATCAGCATGCCAAGGAGGAATAGGACGAGTTCCCAGCGACCATAACGCACGCAGAACCAAATCAAGCCAGAAACCATTGTCATGCGCACAGGTGCCACCAAGCGTGATGTCCCCAGGATGACGACGAATAGGATAAGTGAGGAGCGGAATTCGAGAGGAATTGTCCAAAGGTGCGGGTTATAATAGTTGTAGTAGAGCGCATAGTCGAATGGGTTCATCAAGGTGGCCAAGGTGACCCACAAGTCATCGGTTTGTTTTGAGAAGGACTTATACACATGTGGATGTTGCTCGTTAGTGCCGAGGATTGTGTGTCCCTCTTTGATGACGCCGTGGGAGTAATTGTACAGCCCGAGACGAACAGCCACGAAGACGCAAAGAATCCCAGTAATTGCGGGGATATATAGACGAAATGCTCGGCGGAAGGTGCCTGATGCGAGAACGGTGAAAGTTTGATCGAAGGACCTGCTCCGAATCGTTTTCAGCGGTTTATATGACAGCACGTAGCCGGATAGGACGAAGAAGATGGCCACCATAATGTGACCAGAGATCAGCATATGGAAGAAGGGCAACTGGTGAATTCCAAAGTTTTCACCGCCAAACCCCCATCCTATCGCGACCTTCCATGTGTATGTGAAAAAGAAGTGGAAATTGAAGACGAGGAGACAGGCCCAGCCACGCAGCCCATCTAGAGCTGCGATGGCGTGGAGCTTCGCAGGCTGGGGTGGTGAACTGCCCAGCAAGTGTTGTAGAAAACTTGGCGTAAGCGCAAGTGTCAACCTGTGCCATGTGTCTTCAGAATATGCCAGCCAGTCCTCTTGCGACATCTTCGGTGTCAGTCCCTCGGGATGCGCGAGGATGTTTGAGGGGTGAAATTGTGAGAAGCCATTCCAGCGGGGTGTAATCGTCGAATGGGACTCCAAGGAGGCAGATTCGAGATCTTTCAAAGGGATGTCGGAGGCCGAGGTGGTGGCCCGATCGAGGTGGGATGTCATTTTATGTTCTGCAGGTCGGGTCGATCGCAAGTGGGCATGTCCGGTGGGGCAAAAGCCTTAAATTAGACGCTCTAATAGACAAAGGGAAGCATCTAGGCCGGTATAGGGTATTGAGACAGTCGAGAGAATGGAACTGGACAGTTCGCTCGTCCAGCGAGGTGCGATAAAGCCGATGATGCGGCCCCGGGGGCTGAGGTCGGCGAATTCAGGTAAATACGTCAGCAGGAAGGGGCCTGGTTCACCGCCACTGGAAATGGCGAAATATCAGGGAGGTGAAATCGGAAATTAAATGAGAGTCAGGGATATTCAAGAAGAGTCGAAGAGTCAAGGAGATTAAAGTAAAGACAAGGCAGAGAGACGCCGATCGATTTCCGTTTTCGTTAATCCGCATTTAGAACGTGATTGTCCATAAAAGCACTTGGCGTTCTTATATAAATGAGGCTATAGTTCAAGATTCAATTACATTCGGGAATTTTGATTTATAGACACCTTGATATCTATGGATGTGTCCTCGGGGTGTCTGATGTATCAATAGTAGTCAATAATTATATATATCTACTTCTACTACTTCCTATTGAATAGCTGAATGGTTCCTATGTTACTTTTCCTACTTCTGAATCAACAGTAGAATTTCTCATATCATTTTCTAGTATTCCAGGTAGAAAAGAAACCAATCTGTTTACTTGTCAATATGACTTGTGTCCACATCTGAATCAACATCGCCACCATCAACATTATCAGAATCAATAACATCCGAATTCAGATCGACAGAGCCAACACCGAGAGCAAAATTGACAGAATTAACCTCCAATCCATCATTCTCCGATCTGGCATCCGCCGAACCAGTATCATCATCACCATGCTCAGAATCAGAATCGTAAAAAGGGTTGGGCTGGTCATCTTCCAGGGTCTCCTCCGACGACCCACCGTCTCCAGTAAACTTAGACAGCTTCTTGATATCATACGCCACACGAACACGAATCTCACGTAGATTCTTACAAGCGACAATTATGCCATTGATGTCTTTTGCTAGCGATCTGTCATCCAAAGGGGTTTTGTACCATTTGGTAGAGTATTCAGGACTATGCTGCTTGGATCGAGTCGAAGTAGAACAGGGAACTGATCCTTCATCGACCGAAAAAGGAACGCCAGCATGAGCAAGCACAGAGATAGGTCCTGCAACTCGAGCAACACTACCAGCCGGCAAGGCGAGATCGACCTCGTTCGCACGAAGCCACTGGATGATCCAGTTCGGAGGATGAGGGCCCGGGAAGCTACACCTTGTTTGTTTACTAAATGAGCAGTTCATATATGCGCCAGTAGACAAAGGTCTCGGAAACCTGGTTGTTGGAAAAACAACATAAGATTTGAAAGAACCTAGCCCTTGCATGCAGTGCACACTCTTGTCCAGGCAAAGCAACCGTACCTAAGCTTTGACCAAGCGCAGCTCGACCTTGAAACTCAGAGTTAAGATATTTTTTAATATCATGACGCCAGTCAAGGTCACAGACTGGAGGTAATGAAGTTATTGCAATTTGTAATCGAGTGTTGCGAAAACTGAGCATTGGATTCCCTGCAGTATCAAGTGTGGGCTGTCGAAAATGTTAGAATGAAACTGCAGGAAGAGGTCTGAGCACCATTGAAAGGAATATATATTAACCTGATAACCTACCCTTTGAAGCAGTTTGGGCGGCGGCAACAACTTCACGGTCCCAACAAGGCGGGAAGTTAGTCTCTACAGACGAGCCAGAGGACTCGTTGCTGGACTCGTTGCTTAATCTACGACAATTTTTTTTTGGCTATATAAACGTGTTAGACAGCTAAAATTTTGCATATCTTGAAGTAATACTCCTACCCCGGGGTTTGCTTGACGGATTTGATGCCATAGCAGTGGTAATAGGAGAGATGGTTGAGGAGGGATTTTAGGACACCTACAAGGATGCCCCAGAGAGAAGAGGGGAGAAAGAAAGATGGATTAGTTTTCTAGAGGCAGAAGATTTACAAACTATATATATCTCGCAGCGGCCTGAGAAAAGAGGCCTTTGACAAACAAAGGTAACTAGGTATAGCCCTGGAGGCAAACAAGAATTAAGGATATGGGACGCCGAAGTGCAAAGGAGTTCGGTATGTAATAGAACTAATGAACGTGTGGGCTTACTAGATTACAGATTTAAGAATATTTACCATTATACTTACATCACACCGAGATCTGTCTTTCATACATATATACCTTGAGGTTGTAGGTTGATGGAAGGACAGTGTATAGTTCCAAAAGCGGCTTAGCGCACTATTTTATGCCTCAGGTGTCAATGCCAAGACATCTCGAGATCACAACCGTGGCCTTTTTACCATCGTAGAGGACTCAAGAGGTTGAAAACACATATATCATGTCAAACACTGTTAGAACTTGTATGAATTGGGTGATTTCCAAAAGATAATAGACATTTTCCATAGTTCGTTCTACCAAGCTCTCCGTATGCATCATACTTCCAAGAGCTCCGTTTTCCACGGGAGCTTCGCTGGACATTTTTGAGCTCCAAAGCTCCCAACGTAGAACTTAGACATCTCTGTGATCGATACAGATTGACACACAATATAGACCATTGGACCTTGATGTCGCCGGTTCCCTAAAGCGGCGATGATCCTCTCAGCTCCCTGATTCGCGCAATTCCGCAGTTCGAGAACTTCTCCCTTCCTCTTTGTCCATCCACGCTCATTTTCCCGCCGCCTTCTTTCTGCTCCCCGACATCTTGCGATACGATCTGAATGTCGCGATCGCCTGTCGCGTGCATTTCTTGATAAAAGTGCTCGCGTGGTCGAAGTGGTCCCGAAGTGGGTGCAGTCACGATGGATTTGCGCACGATCATGAACACCGACGGCGGCGCCTCCAATCCTCCACCTCCAAGCAACTCGGCCAGTTCTCCCATATCCGATCAAACCCCCCAAAAGCGCCCGAAGAAGTCAGCTTCTTATTCAGAATATCCTACACGTCCGCCTCAGCCTCCTCCGTTGCAACACCCGCATCACGCTTCCCCAGAGCGAAGCTCACCTTTCGCATCCGTTCAATCGCCTTACCAACAATTCAACTCTGGCCCAGTGATCAACACAGCGGTGAGGTCTCAGCGCAGCCAGACACCTCCACACATCTCGACACCGTATGGTCCCGGCACGCATGACCCATTTGGCGCGTCGGCATACGGGTCGCATCCACAACACCCCGGCGGTCCTCTGGTTTCGCCATACACACCACAGCCTCTGAGTGCTGGACCGCAGCACCCAGAACAACAGACTTATTTCGCCCAGCAGCGTTCTCAACAGCGTTCTCAATCACTTCAGTCGGTGATGACAACACCCCGAGCTCCAGTTGAATCTTTCCGCAGCCCTCCTGTTGCATCACAACCTCTTCCATCGCAGCACTTCTCTCCCACTGCACATCGATCTGTTTCCGGCACCCCCCTAGGTCCTCCTCCTGCCTTTGCCACCCACCAGTCGCCGTCAACTGCCCGCCCGCCGTCCTCCGGACACGATTCCCCTGGCAATCCCCTATCCAGCCCGAAGCCCACACCGGTGGCCTTAATACGGGATCAGGTTCCAACGCAGTCGCCTGTCACTCAGCGAAAATTCTCTCCGCATAATTCTCGACCTTCCGAGCCGACTCATCTCCCTTCGGGCGGCTTAAAGCAAGAGCCAACCGAAAGCGCTAGTCCCAAATCCATCTCCCGTCACAACAGCATCGTCACGGCCTCCGACTCAGCGACTGCTGGTCCAATCCGTTCTTCCGAAGACCGAAAGCTGGTTGAGAGTCCCACCGCACAAAAGCCAACCGTCGCAGGATCGGAGTTCCTAACCTCTCCATTGGCACCAGGCAGTCAAATGAACAGTTCACCCTCCGGCGCTCGTGGAGGCGCCCACGCCGTGGACATGGAAATCGACCACGAACCACGTGTCGATGCACAACAGCCCAAGCAAAAGAGAAGGAGGTACAACGAGCCTCCACTCTATGCTCGGCTGACACCCCGCAACACAAGCAGACGCCCAATTATTCCCAATCCCCGTCCCCCAGTTCCGAAACACGCGCGACAGAGCCAGCAGGATCCCTCCCTGGCTGCTCGCAGACGGTCTTCCTCGATAATGGCTGTCACACCCGTCGCACGGGTCACACGAGCACCTGCCGTTGCTTCACCAAGCACAAGTATGCCTCGCGTGCAAGCTCCCTCAGCTCTGCCGACTCCCTCACTTCGTCCACCGAGTACTTCTCAGACGGTAGGATCGCTGGGCCCTTGGGAGCCGTCTATTACTGGCTTCATTCCACACGAGGAGATTACAAAAACCCTTTGTGATTTCTTGTTTCAACATGTGGTCATGAGAAACGATGTGAATGCCGGACCAACAGGCTCTGCTGCTGCCGGCCAGGGGACAATCATTGAAATTGAGGCGAAATTGGGCCATATCATCGACATGGACAGCAGAGACCGGATCCACCTTCCAATTCTAACTGAGAGCGTCCTCAACCGGGATAATGCACGGATTCGAACCTCGTTTGAGAGTAAAATGACTGTGGTAAGTTGATTGCCCGATGTCCTAGCGAGTATGCCTCGATCCCGATGAAATTTACTTACTCCAATCCACAGGAACAACATCGAGCCATGAATAATTTCCTGAATGAGGCTGTGAAAGCGTCAATGCCCCAACCCAACTCAACCCGAATCCCACTTGCATATGTGCACAAGAAAGAACGCGACACCTTCTATGAGATTCAAGCATCTGATTTACCCCCCGTGATTCGTCAAAACTTGAACCCGAGACACAAACCTAAAGTCCGGGTGACAACCGATGAACGAACCGGTGAAATCCTCGCGAAAATCGTCAAATGTCGAGTTGCCGACGTAGACGTCTGCAGTCCCCGGACTACCGTGGACTGGCGCGTCAGTGTCAATCTTGAAATGGAATACACAGGCGACGTCAGCAATCTCCCTGTGATAGATGCAGCTGTCATAAAAGGCGGACGAGGCGATCGCATCAAAGATCGCATGAGCTACCGCCACTTGGCCTACCAGGTGGACTTGACCCAGGTAGCCAAATCCGATGTAAGCTTATCCAATGTTCTGTATCACCCTTGAAAACAGTCTTCTGACTACATATCACAGCAACAACCGGGCAAGAATGAGTTCGAGCACGAGCTTGAAGTTGAAGTCTCGGCTGAAGAAATTCGTCGTCAGGGCCAGCTTGCTATGTCCGGCGATCCTAAGAACCAGTACGAGGACCTCGTCAAGGGCTTTGTGGATAATATCCGTTTGCTGGCTCGAGCAGTGCCGCCATGATGGTATTTACCGCTTTGTATTATGTATTTTTTTTTTCTGATCTAGGCTTTACTAGGGTTTAGTTTGTGGTTCACTGCAGATATGGTTTTTGGTTTGTAGTAAAAAAGTACGCACTGCAATAGATATTGTGCATGGGTTATATGTTGTTTTAGGGCGACATTACCTAGACAAGGGAATGTCCTAAATTCATTATTCTTGGTCGCCTCGGTTTGGCTAAATATCTCCTGTGTAAATGTTCTAGAAAAGAAAGTGACAACCCATCCCACAGTACTTATTGACGACGGATTGAGAACCTTGGAAGCATCCCCTGCCCATTTCGTAAGCTACCTACAGATGACTCGCACAAACATGGCCAACGATCTATCTCAAGGACGCATATTGCTAAATATTGGACTAAGGAATAATGGTATACAACTGGTTCCATTCACATCATAGAGTGATCTATAATTTATGACACATCAAAAAGAATGAATGTAGGCTGCTAGCCATACAACTCACACAGGCCATATCCAAAATTTGAAAATCACCAAGTCGGCAGACGAGCAGTCCATTTCTGCAAGAACTGGATGCGCTTGCTATTCATAGTCAGGGGGCCCATTCCCCACGAATCACCCAGCCACATAGTCTTCTCAGAGGTCTTAGTAGTGGGCTTGAACTGCGGCAGCCCATTCCCATTAGGGTTTCCAGTGCGGATGAAGTTCGCCCAGTAGTTAGCCATCTTGTTCTCGACAGCATAGTCCTCGCTGTTCCATGTAACATTGGAGTACGAAGCGTAGGGAATGTTATTGAAGGTGTACCAGAGCTCGGAGCCATGGTAAGCACCGTTCTCGCGGTTTTCAGCAGGAGCGTGAGTGAAGTAGTAAGTGTAGACGTTGCTCTTTGCGCCGCCTGTAGCCCAGTCGATGGCCCAACGCCAGGTACCGACACGGCTGAGATCACGGTAGAACTCTTTGGCGCTTTCCGATGCTTGGGTGCTATTTGCACCGGG